AGATTTGTCAGGATGCTGTTATCATGTAAGAGTCTTTCAGAGACACAGCACATATCAATATCAAGTGAGTGAAGATTGAGTCAGTGTTGCCTCCTGGCCGACCTGACCTAGAGTGCAGATGTTAAAAAGAGCCAACGTGAAGTGAAACTTTAGGTTTGGTGGAAAAGCTGCAATTATCGATGGCAACAGCCGCGAGGTCAGGGGCAGATTCTTGCTCAATAAACGAAAAGGAAATGGAAAAGAGAAAAACAAGGAGGGAGTATTGTCAACGTGGTTTAGAGCGCAGATGATACTCCCTGGCTGCCCAATCCGAGAGGAGTCTTGTTCGAGGTGCGCTGTCTCTAGTCTTTGACCCACAAGGCAGTAAGGTACATAGTTTGCTTGAGGGATTCCACTGGGAGTCTGGTTCAAGAGCCTGACCCACAAGGCGATGGGGAGCAAGTCCAGCTCGGGAGTGTGATTGCACAGACCCATTGGGATCGTCATGAGGCCTGCCACACACAGCGTTTGAAGATTCATAAAAGCGCACACGTGTTTTAGGACTATATTATGTTACGCACCTGCCACCACGGTCAGCCACAGATGGAAGTTAGCGGATTTGCACCAATTTGACCCTAAACCGAAGTGAGTTTGTTTTCATCGTATGTGCTTGGCAGAAACTGGCTCGCGTTTGCTAAGTGGAGAACTTCTGATTCAATCTCGTCATGTTACTGAGAAGCAAACGGCCTCGGAAGAGGAAGATCTGAATAGGCTCAGCATGGCAGGAAAGATGATCCGAGAGCAGGGATCTGCCACAGAAGAGCTCCGAGCAAAAATTGATGAAATACACTCACTTCAAGAAGTATGTACGTAATACTGAAGTTGCGATGGGAAGGCACAATAATGTGCTTATTTACAACCGGGAAGAGCCGGTGATACGGGAGGCTGACTAGTCGTGATTTGGATAGAAGATTTGTTCAAGGTATACTAAGTATCGTTGGTATATCGCCTCTCGTTGGCATCAAAAGGATCCATCGAGCTGGTAGCTGGAAGGAAGTAAGCGCTTTGCCCCAGAATTGCCTTGCAACGTCGATCATAGTATAGTTTAAAAACCCGATATACCGTGGTCTTCTTTTTAACCGAGCGCGTCTATTAGCTGGTCAAACAAATGGTCGTTTCTAGATGACCCCAGATACACTAGCATCAAGCGCCCAATTCACCTCATTTATACGGTCGCACAACGTGAACATCGGCCCTGTTGTACCACTTAACCAGCACTTTAATCACAACCTGTGTTAAGAATAAGCTAAGTGGAGCTCATGGGGTTCACTCTCCCCAGGTGGATGCTTCTATCTATTAAGGGAACACGGTTACAACAGACCACGACCTTCGGGAGGATACTCAAAGAGTACCTCCTTTGAATGATTCCAATGATGTATTGAAGAGCAGTGAGGTTCCGAACTCTCCGCTTACGGGAGTTCAGGTTGTAGGTAAGCGATTGAGCATGACTGCTGCTGCCAACTCAGAGGAAACATAAACGATTTACCAAGGAAGTACGATTGATTCAGTTACTGGGCATAAGGAAGCGCGCTCCGACGAAGTTCGTAAAAGTCTAAATTCGACCCAGTCAAGTGCAACTGAGGTCTGTGGGTAATGAGGTCAAGATTATTCGCCGAAAGAAGAAATAATTTGGGGCTCGAGTCACAAAAACAACCAGGGGTGAATTAAATACCAACTCGCACAGCCGTGTACAGTCTCCACAGATTCATGTTCAGGCCTTGGCTACTCCTGTTAAACGAGATCCAAGAAACGGCCTGTCCCCTCGGGTTCTGGGTCCGAGAGGACGTTTAAAAGGACATTTGAGAGCGGAAAGAGACTGCGGCAGGCACCAATAAACGTACGGTACACGAATGCTTGTAGGTTAAGAAATAAGTGGGGGGATCTAGAGTTGAGATGCAGAGATATTAATGTAGTGGCAATTACCGAGACCTGGCTTACTTCGAATGATTCAATAAATGTCTCCTAACGGAATTCTCGAGATACAGAAAAATACGTCCTGATTGCCAAGGTGGAAGTGAGGTGCTTTTGCTTATTCCTTCTCACTATTGTCATTGGGAAGACCCGTACACCACATGCGCCCCCAGTGTTCAAGGCACTTCATGTTTTAAGAGAGTGGGAGATAGAGTAGCATTAATTCTTTGTTGAACGCAGCCCATCCTCGACGCGATGGAAGGACAAGGAGCTAAGCGAGCTGTTAAAACGAGCTGCTTCTTCGGTGCAAAGATTTGTAATAGCTGGCGACTCTAAGCTACCACATGCCGACTGGGAGCACGCGATCAAAAAGGCAAACTCCTTGGAAAGAGACTTAGTGCAGTGAGTACATAAACACGCCTTTGTGGAACACGTTAATTTTCCAACTAGAAGTCATGGCGAGAATGATCCCCCCTCCTTAGACGTTGTAATCATGGTCGGCTGTCAACCATTACCGTGGGAGCTACCAGTAGTAACAGTGACCATATAGCTCTTCCTTTTTCCATTATTTTGCCGAGTATATCAGAGGAACCGCGCATGACGCGGAATCTCAGCCGGATTAATACCATGCTTTTGAAGGAGAGAGCCATGAACACTACTTGGGTTCCAGACAAAGCAGTTGTAACTCTGGAACAGAGGTGGCATATGATCAAAAGTGGGCTCACTCAGCTGCTACAGGAGTTTGTTCCCTTACGCAGTATACGCCACCCAGTAAAGCCTTGTTGGTGGTTCCGAAGAAGAAAGGCTAGTGCGTAAAGAATCCGAAACGCTACTACAGCTATGTGCAGTCGAAGTCTTCTTTAAGTGTTGTTCGGAATTTAAACATGGTCCCCAGGCTACAGAAGACCTAGGTAAGGCGCAGGAGTTGCTAGGTATTTTTCAGAAAGTTCGTAGAGCGGACAATGGATATCCAATCCCCTCGCAGCCCCACAGCGTAAGCGAGAGGAGAATGAGAGAAATCGAACTAATTGTAGCAGATGTTCTCTCTGTTCTGAAAGACTTAAACCTTTACAAATCCTCTGTCTCTGATAATGTGCAACCATCCATTGTAGAGCTAATTGCCGATAGTATCCAGCTTCCAGTCCTTGAAGTTTAGTGTCTCTTCGTGAAGGAATACCACAGGATTGGAAGGAGGCAGTTGTAGACGCCAATCATAAAGGGGGTCCCAAATCATTGCTGAATAATTACCGGCCTGTTAGTTTGACCAGGGTACTTTTGAAGTGTCTGGAAAAGCTCACCAGAGATCGAATCTGGGAGCATCTCACTGCCCATAAGTTGATCGGAGCGGAACAGCATGAATTTGTCAGGAAAGTCATGTCTCAAAAAGCTGCTGTTTCTGACGGAATAACCCGGTGTCTTAATGACGGGATCCTGGTAGAAATATGTTATCTTAAATTCAGTAAAGCTTTTGACTCGGTAAACCGCCGCTTTCTGCTGGAAAAGATGATCTGGTTTGGACGACACGCTCAACTACTTTCTTGGCTGTTTGCGTTCTTCTGCGATAGGACATTTCGTGTTAAGGTTGGAAATGGTATTTCGAGCACAGGTACTGCACATAGTGGAGTCCCCAGGGTTTAGTACTGGGTTTTCTACTGTTTCGTATGTACATGAATGACTTGGCCCCTTTTTCGAGGAATGCTCCCATATTTTTGCTGATGATTTCAAGCTTGTTGAAAAAAATGAAATGTATCAGCTTATACGCCGTAACGGCGCTTCGCTGCCGCGCGACCACCACCAGTCGCGCGCGGGCTGAGTATACTGCGAGGACGCCCACCCTACGCGGATTCGAACCGGTGACCTTATGGTTGGAAAGCAAACGTGCCAACCACTCAGCCACCGGCCCTAAGCAAGGGTGACAAGGTTACCTTATCTAAAGATTTAGCTACTGTGGCTAAATGGCCACAAGTATGGGAGCTGTCCTTAAACGCCAGCAAATGCCAAATCTTGACTCAGAGTGGCGAAAATGTGGTACTGCAAGCACCTTTTTGGTCCCTGGCAATGTAACGTGCTATCGAAGCACGTGAACTTGGCATCATCGTGACGAATAACTTCAAGCCGTCGGCGTAATGTAAGCATGCTGCTAATAAGGCACGATAGGAGTTATTTCAACTTAGCAGAGCTCAGAGTTGTAACAGGTCAGCAGTAGGCCTGTTGTCTCCTATGGCTGTTTTAAAGGAAGAGAGCCACTGACCTCTCCCTAAACGAGGAGGATTGGATTGAGACGGAGTCAGTTTGAACACTGAATTTTGACCTGTCTGGTATAAGTGGCTCAGGAGACACATTGAAAGTGCCACTCAGCATAGCTCAATGGGGCAAGCAGATATGTAAACCATCGCACTACGCCAAGGTCGTGCAGTTGAAATGCAGGTGAGCAGCGAACTGTCAGATGATTATCCTAAATGATATACGTTGGTTTACAAACATGGGAAAGTGTAGCATGTGTCGGGAAATTGAATTAGCGAGCGGATTCTGACTATTCGCGACTAGGTTCCGCGGAATATGCTCTATTACCCTTGTGGACAATCTTCTCAGTTCGGCCGAGGTATTCGCTATCGTATAAACAGTGAAACAGGTAAACGCATGAGTTGGTAACTCAAAAGTCCTGTTTGTTCAGGTTGGATATAAACAATTACTTTCTAACTTATTGCAAAAGCACAAGCTCAGCAGCGTAATAACACTGTTTTAAGGATTTGGTACCGGAATATCCTGTCATTTTGGTCTACTTTCGTCTGACACCCTGGCGACTTTGTCAGCAGTGTCGTTAATCGCTTACTTACTTTTTTTCGCAAATAATGATAGATGGGAGCTGCGACCAGGTAGAAGGCAATTAGCAGGGTTACTGACTAAAGGTAATGTTAGTTTTCCTTCAATATTCCAAAGATAAATCAGTTATGAACCAGTGACCTGCTTGCTTTTTAAACATGCGGATAGGACTCGAGGTTATGTGGTGTAAATCGCAGTATACATAGAGCAAGTGAAAACAGGCTAACCGGTTGTTCCAGATGGACCCTAATAATTCTAAGGATTCCTTTACGCGATTCTGGCTGGGATCTTCACGTAAAACCATATTATAGGAGGAACAAGCGGCGACGAATATTATGGCGGTGACATCATTGAAGCATTGGATCCACTTTCGACGCTCTTCTCTCTGCCCACCAACATCGAACATGTGAAAATTAACTTTGTCAACGCTGAATTTCGTTTCGAAAATTCCGGACGTAAGGACTCTGCAACGTAGGATATCTTGTTCGGAAGGAATGTAGTCCGGCATGCCGACCACGGCAGTTTTATCGAGGAAACTAAATACGATCACACTGAGGAAGAGAGTGCTCACTATTTAGCGCAATCAATTAACTGGTACTCATTCGACCGTTCAAAGGTCTCCTGAATTCCTCTATCTTTCCACAACTTTTCACAGTATAAGAAGAATTCCTAAGACTATATAGCAATTTGACGGGTACAAACCGCAGGGTAGTCGAAATCGGCCTTAGAGGCTTGGTCTAACATATAGTCTCGATACTTAATATTCTCAGCACACTCCAGGTCAACTGGAGGTTTTAATGAATGCATTGCACCGGCGATTGACTGAAGTTGATAGAATGAAAAAAGTAATTACGCATATCGCATCCCGTAGATTTTTTCTGATTGCCTCAATTTTTTCACGCTTCTCTCTGGATATTTTAGGACGAACAATCTAACTCGCACCTTTCGGAAAACCCGTCAATGTGTAAAATCCGCATCTGTTTCACTATAGTTGATTTTCCTGACTCCCCGGCACCTGAGGAAGATAATGCTGGGAGAAAATAAACTTGCCTAGTAGAAGTAAGCGGTGAGTTGACTTGAAGTCTTTCTTTTCTTTCTCGATAATCTTTTCAATATTTCTATTAGCTTCGCTGCGAGTTTTCGCATCTTCCGAAACGTGATTTAACGCACAACAACCCACGACCATGGCTAGAAGCGAAGATGAGATTTCAGATCGGCCGGAACCCGTGGCCGTCTTTCCGCGAAGGACACCTCAACGGACTACGGACTACGGCGTAAAAGCAGCAGCCTCACAGACAAAGCTGGGTAGGGTGTTTTGGTACGCCAAATACGTACTTACTAACACTTACAAATTTCCAATTTAATTACCTGGTATGTAGAGGCAACAGCTTCTATGCTGCGCCATTGAATTTTAAATTGTTTAGACACTAAATTCATTTCCGGTAAATTTCCTTACATCATGGTGTCTGCCTGCGCAATACATTCTGCAAGTTTTCTTCTTCACTAGTTTGTAAATTTAGTCTTTACAAGACCTTCTTTGGCCTTGTTCTATTTATTTTTCTACTAGGATTAAATATTGGTTGTATTGCAGTACTTGCATGACCAAATTCCTTTCCGCCAATACACTTGACGGTTGTTCTTTTCTGCCTACAGAGTACTAAGGGAAATAAACTTTAATTTGTAGCGTGTATAACAGCGTGTAATAAAACCATTAAACATCTTCTTTTAGGTAAGCAACGTGCAACTGTTTTCAAAGGTCTTTTATGTGCAGGGTTGCGACTTTCAATGCAAAGGAATCCCAATAAGCTCAAGAAACCGACAGGTGACCGATAAGTGCCTCAAATGAGTCATAAAACGTACGCGGCAGGATAATTTTCCTTCACTTATTGGTCACTCAGAAAAAGCAAACAAAGCCCTGATAGTTCTAATACGTTTTCCTATAATCTCCTTCACGTTGATACTCTACCGTCCCTCTCCCTCGCTAAATGGCCGCAAGCTGGGCTTTGTACTCTGCTCAGTGTTCGGCAAACAGTCAGTCTCTTAGGAAACGTATTGGCAGCATAATCTCAATAGCTCCTATGCGTCTTTCCAAATTTCACCCTGCGTTATCATATCACTCGCTCCTTTACAACCGCCTTATGCCTACACACTTAGTTTTTTTCGGTAAACATTTACGCGGAAACTACACGTTTTTATCATAACTTGCAGTACACATTCACTGGTAACACATTAATTGCTCTTCTTAGCGCCATAGCGCTTTTACTCGTTGGATCGATTCCGAACTTCTTGTATACAGCAAATTGTAGGACGAAATGTAACCAGTAAGTGGAATTCTTACATATGCACACAGCTTACTAATAACCGCGCGATAAAGGGCACAGTGAGTAAATAAATAAATAGTTTATTCTCGTCATTGCGAGACACACTATCAAGGGCGTGATCATGGTAATACATACATGTATGAGCGCCAGTTGCACAAATTAGTACATGTTGACAAATAGCATGGGAATGTATGTGTCTGTTGACATGTAAAAGTATGTTTATATCTGTATTTGGAAGCAGCCATGTTGTCTGGTTAGGTAAATATGACTGTGTGTGCTTTTGTTCGTTGGGTTCGCCATCAAACGGGGAAAGCAATGGAACGCTTCGAATCGGAGGAAGTTCGTGATGTGTGAAGGATCCTCCGGAAAAGGGAAGAGGAGGTGACTTTATTTAGTGGCGAGTCACATCCGCCACGTCACAGTGTTGTTAAACGGATATCTGTGGCTTTTTCTAGAGAGAACGCTTGCCAGGCGAAATCGCACCACATCCTCTAACACTGCCGCCGAACCATTTGCTGGAACGGGATTAACCCGAAGCACCCTGCTGGCACGACGTGGAGGTTGTTCGGCTAGCCAGCATAGTAAGCTCTCAGCCGTAGCTTGTAGAAGGAGATCAGCATGTGACGTTGAAGCCGCATACCCTAACAAGTTAATTGCAAACTGGAGCAATGACGCTACCTAACACAACTATTACAACCTATGGCGTGCTTAGAATTTTCGCACGGAGCAGATTTTACACCCTTTTTTTGAGAAGCGTATCACCAACCCAGGCCATTCCGAACGAAAATGCTCAGCTACTAATATAGTACCTTCAGCCGCCACGGCGAAGTATGCAATGGCGTGCATGCCTTGCTAAACCTTTCCCGACTCACCTCTACAGCTACACAGGAGTGTGGTTTGCGGTATACATAAGTCTTCAGCATTCTAGCACACAGATGTTTCAAGCGTATCCTTTCCCCCGGAAGCAACTCAGAGCTTAAAATCGATAGCTTTTTTGGAGGGAGATGACCAGGTTAGCTACTTATTTTAGGTTCAATTTAAAGTGCCGTTGGGGCAGGAACTATGAAATAACACCGCGAATTTAACTCTTGTATTGTTTAGTTGGATCGGGACTCGATCGTCCTGCTTGAGGGGTTGAACGGTCTAATCCAATTACCGCTGCACAATCTGTCCAGCCAATAACTGCTCACATGTTCCTGCCCAAAATTCCATGCCAGGCCAGTTTAAGTGAAATAAATATGTGGGAATGGTGTGGTAAGAAAACAAGGCTAGGAATATCAGCGTAATAACAGCAACGACTGGTGTGAAACGAAATAGATAAAAGGAGGTTGGAAGCTTCTTAGTTTTCCAGGATTGGACATATGAACGAAGCTTTCTTCTGAGACCGTACGCAATAACCGACACATTCCTAACTGGACCACGACTGTACACCAAAAGTCTTCAACTGTACCCACCACCGCGCCAGTTGTCCAGTATCGATAGCTGGACACTCCCGAACACTATACACGGGCAAATCTTCAGACACCAGAAATGTTGACATTTTTGCTCATTTGGACACTCGAAAGTAGGAGTCATCTTTACTTCCACCACCGGCTGACCACAACTACTATGGAGGCCCTGACCAAGCTGCCGAAGAAGCCAACAGAGATAAGTAATTTATTTGACCGCGATTATCCGAAAGTGAAAGCGGTCGACAACCTTCTTTTTATTTTGCTATTAGTTTTCAAAGGCATTAAAGTCAGCGTTCTAGGACATGGTGGGTTTTCTTCTGTCTGGCGTCCTCCATATGAAAAGCCCCAAAGGTCCGTTTAATAACACTGCCACATGGCGGATTTGCAACGCCACCGAAAAGGGCTAATGCACACAACTACCTACTGGCGAGTCGCCTAGAGTCTCAGTTCACTCGTTCCTTGACGCGTAAGAGAAAAGGCTACGCACAGTCCACATCTACCGTTTTCATTATATGTATAGTGCCTTGAGTGTTTACGCTAGGCACACTTGAACCCACGGTATCGCCAGCCAATGACGACTATATTCCTCTTGATTACTTCCTCAACTTCCGCCACCTGAAGAAGGTTCGGCCCCTGCCGATTACATCCATAGCAACGTGTCTTTTGCGAAAAATAACTGCTTGTAAATTTTGTTCATGACTGACTTGGCCTGCCAAGATAACTTGTAGAATAAAATATAGTTATTTTTACATGCCGGTTTAGAAAAAGGGAAGGTTTGCTACCGCCATTCAGGAGCATCTTACTGGCGCCCGAAACATTTATCCGTATAGTCACTAAAGCATGCTCAGTAAGCGGGTTTTAAAGTTCAGTAAGCCGGCGTGACTAACAAGTTTCCGTCCCAGGTGCTCAGAGCTCAGTTGGTGCAGCTTCATTAAGTGACATCGGAGACTACTCAACTTGGATGGACAAAATAGCCAGGATAAGTCTGGACCCATCTTACCCCTTAGGATACGGTAGGTGCTTTCCAAGTCACCTCTAATCCTCCAGTTGTGCGTTGAATATATGCTGAAGCTAAGCAAACTTCCCTGCACCAACTTTCACCGACTCGTAAAACCCACTCCAGTTCCAGTTTGTACCATGCAAGACTTGGTGGACAAGCCTGAATACAGTATTCTGAGTGGAGTCGCGCAAAAGCTGTGAACATCTTCACTAGGACATCGGCCGTCAGGACACCGAAAGAGCGGCGAAGCGACCACAGTATACGAAACCTCTCCGAGCAGCCATTCTCCATTTATTCCCAGAGTGAAGAACGAGGTGGTGGACAATATCTAGATCCACGTGTCGAGTGACAATAGGGATTTAACTTCCACCAACTACACAGCGCTTGGGGGACTAACACCACTAATGCGGAGGACTGAACATTTCGTCTGCTGCGTAGGCATCAACGATAAGTTTCATTAAACTCAGAGCCTATCCAACCCACTCTAAATTGCTTTGAGCCCCACGGTTATTCGCAAAATTCCAGAGCTTTTTGTTATCCGAAAACAACAGCAACGGTGATTCCAGCTCCCTGGATATGTCATTGGCATAAATTGTGGAAACCATGGGCCCTAAAACCGAGCTCTGCGGCACGCTACTAAGAACAACTTGCCTAAACGAAATGCTATGTCCCGCGCTGGCACATTGTCCTCTCCTCTGAAGGTAAGTGGACAGAGTTTAGGGCGGCACCAGATATCCCGTACGTTTTCAAATTTAATGTAAGTCGTTGATGTGGGACAGTGTTAAAATGCTTTCGGGAAGTCAACCAAAAGCACGTCGATAGCGTGGTCGTTATTTACTGCTTCAGCCTAGCTTTCAAGTTTTATAAGTAAATACGTCAGACAAGAAAATCCCCTACGTAATCCGTGCTGTGCATCTCTGAGAAACCTAGACATATGCAGGTAATTTTCTACCGAATCGCTGACCAGTTTTTCAAAATACATGACAACTACGTTTATCAAGCAGACAAGCCGGTAGTTCGCAAACGGGTCCCTGTCACCGCCCACAAAAATCAGCCAAAGATTGCCTCCTTCCATACCGAACGTAAGGTACAACTGTCGAGTGATATTGCAAGCCTGCATGTGGTAGGGCCATTTAGCTCATCGGCAAATTCATGCAGCAGCTACGGCTAAATTGCATCATGACCGAATGCTTTGGAAGATTTAA